CAGCTACTTGGGAGGCTGAGGCAGGAGGATCGCTTGAGCCCAGGAGTTTGAGGTTGCTGTGAGCTAGGCTGACGCCACGGCACTCACTCTAGCCGAGGAAAATAGTGAGACTAAAGTCTCACTATTCCTCAGGCTGGTTTCGAACTCCTGAGCTCAAACGATCCGCCTGCCTCAGCCTCCAGGAGTGCTAGGATTACAGGCGTGAGCCACCACGCCTGGCCGAAAATGGATATTTTAATGAGGATTGGGAATTGCAATATTATCTTGTTTCTGCTAAAGGTAAGATGATTTGCTTGCTTTGTGATACTACACTATCAACATTAAAGACATTCAATGCTCATCAGCATTATAACACTCATAAGGACCACAAATATTTTAAATTAGAGGGAGAGGCACGAAAGGTTGTACTGAAGAAATTAAAAGATGAAAAGCAAAAGCAAAGATAATTCTTTCAAGCAGCAATAAGACCTGGCAGTAGCTCACACCTGTAATCCTAGCACTCTGGGGAGGCTGAAGCGGGAGGATCGCTTGAGGTCAGGAGTTCAAGACCAGCCTAAGTGAGAGTGAGACCCCGTCTCTGCTAAAAATTAGCTGGGCTTGGTGGTGTGGGCCTGTAGTCTCACCTACTTGGGAGGCCGAGACAGGAGGATCCCTTAAGCCCAGGACTTTAAGGTTGCTAGGCTGACACTACCGCACTCTATCCTGGGCGACAAAGCGAGACTCTGTCTTAAAAAAAAAAAAAAAAGAAAGACCTAGAAATAATGCCACTGAAGCAATTTATTATATAAAGTAGCTTATATACACTCGGGAAAAAAGGGAAGCCATTCAGTGATGTAGAAATTGTGAAAGTTGTAGGATGCTTAGACCCTGATAATGTTTCAAAGTAGAAACAACTGCATCTTTCAAGGACAACCATAAATGATTGGCAGCATGAATTGCCTTCAACTTAACATTCAACTTCATGCAATACTTCAAAAGGAAAATTTATATTATTCAATTGCTTAGGATGAATCAACTGATACTACAGACTCGGAGCAGGTTTTATACTTCATTCAGGTCATAACAGAAGATTTTCTTTGCTACAAAGATTCACTCACTTTGAGCACTCTTGTGAACAGAACACGGGTAATAGACATCTTCAGCAGCTTTCAAGATAAATATTGTGAAGTTAGACTGAATTTGGTAACTTTAGTGAGTGTATGTACAGATGGTGCACCTTCCATGACAGGAAAACAAAGGGTTTCTTACACAGATAAAAAAAAGTATTAACAGATGCAGATGCTCTCATTTCTTTTCATTGTGTCTTGCATCAGCAAAATCTCTATGCTAAAGCTACTATTTTAAGTGATGCTTTGCAACAAGTTCTCAGTATTGTTAACTATATTCCTGCAGATGCAACATAGCACGGTCAGTTTTGTAACATGCTAAAGTTGAACTATGAGGTATTCAGTGTGGATTTGCCATATCATTCTAAAGTGTTGGCTATTGCAGGGACAGATGTTAGCTGAAATTTTATCTCTGTGAGAACAGATAGTTTAATTTTATGAAGAACAGAATCAGCAGTGTGAATTATTGAAAGAAGATTTCTATAGGAATGCAGCATTTCTGTGTGATATGTCAAATCAAAATGACTTGAATATTTCTTTGCAAGGTAAAACTAAGTCCATACATGATATGTGGCAAAAAATCTAAGCATTTCGAAGAAAGCTATCTTTTTTCAAAACGCTTCTTCAAAACGAAATTTCAGATGAACATTTTCCCCAGTTAGCAAAGGTCATTGATGAGCAGGATGATATATGCAAATTAGTTGAAGAATATGCAGCTGTTATAGACCTATTAATTGGAGAATACAATGAAAACTTCACTGACTTTGAGAATCATGACATCACACTCAAATTAGCATTTCAGCCTCACCTAATTAATATCACCAAGGCACCTAAAGAACTACAGATGTAATTGATTGAGCTATCTGTAGATGACATTTTAAAGTCATTGTTTGATGCCAAGAGAGATCCAATTGAAATATGGAAAAATGCAGTAGAATATCCAAGCCTTTGGCAACATGCCCAAAAAATGCTTTCTTGCTTTTCGACTACTTATTGCTGAAAATCTACATTTTCCTACCTAACCCAAATCAAGACACCCTTAAGGTCACATTTGACTGCTACCCATCTAGAGGATCAACTGAAACTGTGGACCTCCATGCTGCAAGCAAATATTCAAATGCTTTCCAACAAAATGCAGACACAATAAAGTCATTAAAAGGTTTGTTAACTTTAAAATTAACAATTAGTTTTCATTTTTTGAAATTATTAAGTACATAGTTAGATATTTTACAAAATAATGTACATTTTTAAGTAGGTCTAATTGAAGTTTCTTGAATACAGCCTGATTTGATTACAGCTAAATTAATGCGGCCTTCCAGTAGGAAAGGTTCCCCGCCCCT